AAAAAATGAAAAACAAAATAGAAATATGTAGTCTTGTTTGGATGGCGACTAATTTGACAACCTAAATCATACAATTTAATTCATCAAATATGTATAGGTTCTCTAAATTTAGGATTTATACCTTATGAGTGGCTATTTCTGTCGATCCCTGCGATGGGGACAAAGGCAGGGTGGGGATGAGGGGATTTTTTTCTCAGGGGTATTTGTGCCGCCCCGTGGGATCCTTGCTTCTCATAAAATATCAAAAAATAATTATTATTATTATTATAAACTAACTCAATTTAAGTATTCATTTCAAAGTCATAAACAATACCCATTATTATTCTAAGTTTCAACCAGTATTAAAGTTCATTACTTTAAAATCAAATCTAACCCAATACTTTTTTTAAGTTTAATAACTTGTGTTATAATAATGTAATAAATATATTTTTTATTATAAATTTATATAAAAAAATAAATATTAATATTTAATTTATTAATTATTTAATTAAATTTATTTCGTGACAATATGAGCCATTCCGCCGCACCCTCGCTTTCCTATTGCTATTGCTACTGTCTCTTTAATATAAGAGTAATATAAGAGTAATGACATGAAGAATAAAAATTTTAGATTAATGATGTTTTATAAATTAGGTTACAAAATTAATTAATATATGTTTTTAAAAATAAAAAAATAATTATTAAATAACATAAATTTTATATTTTAATATTTTAAATAACTTAATTTATATCACTTTATTAACATTAAATTTTAATTTTAATTTTTAATCTCATTTATTATTATTTTTTATATCTAATAATTTTTATTCCACTGAAAATGAAGTCCGGACTAGAAGAACAAGAACTGAAATCAAAACTGAAAACAGCTAATCCTCTTCAGTCCAGACAATGTCTAAAGCCAGTCTTTGGAACCACCGCACTCGGAACTTGGAAATAGTATAGTTCCGTTTGATTCAGCAACGAAATGCTTAGAACACTTCGATCTCGCCGGCGGCCGCGATACGGTGCTCAGGTATGCGCCGTCATCTCAGCTTTCCTTCTCCTCTTATCAGTCTCTCTCCTACACTCCCGGCTCTCCCTCTCCTCAAAACCCCACATCTATCAGCGCCAATCCGGAACTGTTCTGCCCACCAATCCTCTCCTCTCCGATTCTGACGATGACTTCGGCGGAGTATCCACCGATGATAAGATCGACGAGCTCGATACTCTCGAAGAGAACGATCCCGTTTCCAATGAAGACGAGATTGAGCAGGAGCAACGGGAAACAGCGACTGATCGTGGGATCTCTTCATCTGGGCAGTTTTATTTTGATCACGTAACTGGTACTATACGGAGAAATTTCAATAAGCGTTCGATCGAAGAGTGGGATTACGATTATGTGGGGTTTAACGATGGAGTTTTGGGGGAGGATAGTTCTGACCTCAAGGCTAAGGCGGCATTTGCATCTGATGATATTCCTGTAGACGAAGAGGTGAGGAGGAAGATGAGTGAGGTTGTGAGCATTGAAGATGCGTTGCTGTTGAAGATTGGGAAGAGAGCGTCTCCATTGAGAGAGAAATGGGGGGATTGGTTTGATAAGAAAGGTGATTTCTTGAGGAGGGATAGGATGTTTAAGTCTCATTTGGAGGTTTTGAATCCATTGAATAATCCTTTGTTGCAGGATCCTGATATTGTTGGGATTTCAGGCCTGACTAGAGGTGATAAGATGGTGCAAAAGTGGTTGTTGAGTGAATTTAAGCGAGTTCCTTTTATTGGGAAGAAGCCTTTGGAGGGTACCCACGATGTAAATTTTGAGGGGAAAGATAGCGAGAATGAGAGAAATGATATGGCAAGAGGTGAGATTAAAAGGAGGACTTTAGATGACAATTTGAAGAATAAGCTGAGGAGCAAGAGAGAAAGCAGTGGAAGTGAGGATTTGAGTGCAAATGTAGGGGGAAATTTATTAGATGAGAGAGCTAGGAATCAGACTAATGGGCTGAATGGTGATACCATAGACAATCGTAATGAGGGTTTGAGGGGGAATTCATCCAGTGAAAGCAGTGATAGACAGAGTGAATTGAGGCAGGTGGGAGAGTTGAAGAATGAAGATACAAAAGCTCATGAGAGTAATGTAGAATCTTCTGGTCATATATTCGCAGATGGAAAAAGATGGGGCTACTATCCTGGAATGCATCCTAGGCTTTCTTTTACAGAATTCATAGATGTCTTTTTCAGAAAAGGGAATTGTGATATCAGAGTTTTTATGGTATGGAACTCACCTTCATGGATGTATAATGTAAGGCACCAAAGAGGGCTTGAGAGTCTGCTTTCTCGGCATCCAAATGCATGTGTTGTATTGTTATCTGAAACAATTGAGCTTGACTTTTTCAAAGAAAGCTTTGTCAAAGATGGGTAAGTGCTTCAATTATGCCCTTTACCAGGTTTACTACTTTGATTGACAATGTGTATTGTTATGTAAATGAGTTCTTCTATTACAGTTACAAAGTTGCTGTGGCAATGCCAAACCTTGATGAATTGCTGAAGGATACGCCTGCTCATGTTTTTGCCTCTGTTTGGTTTGAATGGAGAAAGACAAAGTTCTATGCCACCCATTATAGTGAGCTGGTCCGCCTTGCTGCACTCTACAAGTAAGTTCGCCTAACCATGTATGTTCTGATGTGATTTTGATTTCTAATGAATTTGATTTTGCTGATGTTGAGATCTTGGTTAATGTATTAAGCTTGGAAATGGAATTCAGTTCTGTTATGTTGCAACAGTTATAATTTCTGTTTTCCTTGTGGACTTTATAGAAATAAGGTACAAGACTTATTAGCTGATAAAAAGTAGATGTGCTTGATTTGCATGGATACATGCCTGAAAAATTAGAAAAGCAAATATAAGAGGTTACTAAAAGAGATCTTAGTGATGCAGCCGTAAAAATATCCATATTAAATGTTCAAGACCAAGGATATGTGGTGTATATTTAGCAGTTCTCACATCTCACTCTTCATTTGTATTATTATGGTGGAATTTGAAACAACCATTACTTTTAGTTGATTCTTTACATGCAATGCATATTGTGTCATTCCTACTTAATTTTATAAAATTTTCATTGATTATGGTTGGCACTTGACTGACTGCATCATCTAACATAAGACCAGATTGTGACGGTTCTTGGGTTGAACTTTCATTTTGAAGTTAATGTTTTCATTCAAAATCTTTTCTTCTATCTTTATGTAGATATGGTGGAATATATCTTGATTCTGACATTATAGTTCTGAGACCATTATCATCACTCAAGAATTCTATTGCCTTGGAGGATCAGATGGCTAGAAGTCCTTTGAATGGTGCTGTAATGGCATTTGAAAAGCACAGGTAACAATGACCTCTGATCTTTAGGTCCTTAAATTTTATGAAATTACTTTTGTTTGCACTTGGATTGCATATTTGCATCTAAGTTCACTTTTCTTTTTAGTGCACAATTTTTCTTAGGTAGATGTGGTTCTTGTAATTTCTTTAGACTCTTAGATTTACACAAACCTCCTTTTGGAATGGCTATCTAGGAACTTTTCATGGATTTTGTTGCTAGTTCATAAGCAGTGCAAACTTTTTCTGAAGGGTCAGATTGGGTACTGTGTAGTGGAAGGGACAAGAGGCTTCAATTTTTTGTAGAACTTTTAGGAAACTAATTGGCTAGTTTTTTCTCTATATATAATTTCTATTGAGAAGGATTGATTCAAATTCATGAGGGCCCTACTTCAGTTGGTCCAAACTTCATAATGGCCTTTCATGTTCTAATAAGTTAGTGATTTTTGTATACTGGGATTTATTGGCTCTATCCTTTATTAGAGTGGGACTGTTGCTGCCACTCCTCCTTTTTTTTTTCCCCATTTTTAACTCTCTCCATCGTGGATAATTTTATTTATTTATTTATTTTTTTATATGTGTTTTTTGGATTCTTTCTTTTGCAGTTCCTTTGTAATGGAGTGCTTGAAAGAGTTTTATTTGACATATGATGATACTCAGTTGAGGTGGAATGGTGCTGATCTTTTGACTAGAGTTGCAAGAAAGTTTCTGAGAAAAAAACACTTATTTACCAAACAGCTCAAGTTGAATGTGCAACCCTCTTTTCTTTTTTTCCCTCTTAGTTCACACCAGATCACAAGGTAATATTCACTGACCAGTGTTCATTATTTTTGCTTGTTTGCATCTCTTTGTGTTTATTTGGCCCTTATGCTTGCATAACATAACCATACTATCACTTTCATGCTTCTGCACCAAGGCCCCAGACTCTTATTGTTCCTTGTCTTAGCATTTGTCTTTTGTTTCTTGTCTTAGCATTGTCTTTTGGTTCCTGCCCTTGGTAAAATAACACTACAGTACTCATCAATGCTCCTGCACTCAAAACTCAATCCAGGGTGTTTTATTTGCTGTTTGTTAATTTGTTTGGCTTTGACTAAATCACTTAGAAACATGGAGAGTCATGGTAAACTAAAGCTGGGCGCAAGAGAGCCAGATCAATTCCCATATTGTTGTTGTTGTATCCCTTGCCCTTTTGGCCATTAGGGTCAGTATGGAAATAAAAGTTATAGGGTTTTTACAGATTATGGTATCTTTACTGTTGAAGCTCTAAGTATTCTTAGTTCACATCCATTGGAGTTTGAGTTTCTTGGTCATCTCAGCAATCTTGGGCTTCTGTTGATATTTCTGATTGGTATAATAGATTTGATTTCTTTGATGGTTGTAAATCCTTTGCTCTCTAAATAACCATTTTTAACTACGAAAAAAGAAATGGTACATGGCATAAGACCTACTTTTGAACATAGAACCAGAGAACCATTTTTGAATCATTCTGCTGTTGAAATTTAACCCTTTAAGTTAAAAGAATCATCTAAATATCTAATTACTGCCGTTTTCTAACTACTCCTGATTAGCATGTTGTCATTTACACACCTAGGGCTACATGTTAACATTTTATTTGCACAAGAAATTTTCACTTGCATAGTTTCTTCATGAAGAAATTACCAATACATGCACTTATACTTTTGTAAGTACTTTAGTCTCCTTCATATTTGTCATAACTCATTCAACTGCAAGCAGGTACTTTGTTTCACCAGTGACAGAGATTGAGAAGGTGCAGCAAGACACTCTTTTCAAAAAGATTCTGAATGAATCTTTGACGTTTCACTTCTGGAACAGCTTTACATCTGCTCTCATTCCAGAGCCAGGGAGCCTCGTAGCCAGGCTTATTGACCATCCTTGTATCCATTGCTCTGACAAGTTGTGATCCATCTTTACTCAATCTGATCCAAATCAATCCAGGTACAAGATGGACTCTCTTTTATGACAGGCAGTGCTGAATCTCTGCCTGCAAGTGTGTTAGATACAGGAATTTCATTTCAGATGCTTGGGATAAAGCCTATTCATAGAATTATATAGTTTCTGTAACTATATTCCTTCATTTGTTAAACAAGTGAGTTTGTATCCTTGTATTTATAGTGCTTCCACAAATTTCAAAGTTAGGGTAAAAGCTAGTGAATGTGCTTTTGTCTTTGGTGGCTGAGAAAACCGATGCAGTCATTAGGCTGAATTACCAAATGCAAATTTTGGTTCAGAAGATTACACCTCTGTTCTTTGAATTGAATAGAAAAGCTACAGGTTTTGTTTATTTCAAATTATCCAGCTGAATGGCATTACATTTTCTATCACGTTTATATGAACACAACGTTCTTTTCTATATCCTTTGTGCATACACAAAAGTACATATGAATCTCCACTAGCAAAGCATCACACCTCCCTCCTAAGCCCACTTTTTCCCAACAAAGCCGAACTCTTTTTTCTATTAACTTGCCTACAACCAAGTATAATCGCTTGGCCTTTCCTCATGCTGCCATCATCTTGCCCCCTTCTAAGATCACAAAAGCAAGAGATGGTCTAAAATTCACACCGACTAGTCCTTGGCATTGGGTCCAAAGCATCTTCTTTTCACTGGGTCCCATACCCATTGCACCAGGAACCTCCTCCCCTTGACTCCATTCACATTATAGGCATTTCCCCAGGGATCCTTGTAAACATTTCCCACATAACCCCCACCCCCACCAGAACCGTACACGCCAAGGCACAAGTCTGCTATCTCTTGAGGTGCAGTTGGGTCATCTCCAGCATACCACGCATTCACCAGTGGATTACTTGACACTTCTGCAAGTTCATGAGCAATAACACTCACCATGCCATCAGCTCCTGCATCCCCGTTTGGTGCTTTCATTATGTTGTTACCTCCATTTGTGCTTGGTGGTGGCTTTCCTGAATACTGAGGCCATGCAAAAGGGTATGCGCACATCCCAGGACACTGAGTCCCACTATACCCTACCCAAGCATAGGGAACAGTCGCCCCAACAATTGTTGGGAAGGTGAAGTAATGAAAGCCACAGACGGCCCTGCAGAAATCTTGAACCTGAACATCAGAAGAAGTCAGCACCAGGTAAACGCCATTGTGAGCATTGAGAGGTAATGCCCTTGGGGAAGAAGTAACTGCATTTTTAATGATGGACTGCATGTCTAAACGACTGAGATACCCCCCATGAGAGTATCTGGAGTCATAAAATTCCCCTGATAACGCAATGCTGCCTGTGATGTTAGCCCCAGTTTGGTCAGTGTAGAGCCTCACAGTTTTCCACCAGTCAGCAACAGAAGGATAAGAAACCGATGAAGAAGAAAGAGAATACAGAAAATCTCTGATAGTGGCTTGGTGGGAAGGGTTCCAGTGACCATACCAGATTATATACAGGTTGATAGGGGCTGCAAGAACAGGACCCATGTGGTATTCAAGATCCACAAAATCAGAAGAACCCTCATAATTCTCATCATGGTCAAATCCCTCATTCAGCCTCCATGAAAGAGCCAGAGGAGCAAAAGCAAAACAAAGGACAAACACCAAGAGAACATAACAAGGTAACTTCTGAATCTTTATTATCGCCATTGCCATGTCTCTCAGTGGTTTGGCTTGTGGGTTTTGACAATTAAAAGTGAGAAATATAGATTTCTTATAAAGAGAAGGACTGGGGGAGGGAAAGGGAAAGATTTTCTACGATTCTCAATAGTACCTGCAAATATCTATAGGTGCTAGGTTAATGTCCACCCAATGGTAACGGGTATGTCCCGTTAGAATTGTTTGCATAGAGATTCTTCATCAATTTTTTTTTCTCTCTGCTATGTGGCTCACAGTGGTTTGCATGTGTGCATAATGAATTTCAATCGTTGTCTACTTTATTTTGATAACTATTTTGTTCCCCATTTGTTTTCTACCCTTAATTCTGATTGAAAAACAGTGCATAAAGTAATAGAGCTACCAAACCACATCATACAATTTGTGGTTACCCCCTAAACCAGAAAAAGCCTATTAGCATCTTGGGATCACCAAGGGAACTATTGTTTATTACTTTGGGACACATATTTTGAACTGATTCCTTTCTTTATTCTCAAAATTTTCCCTTGCCACATTGCCTCTTTTCTATGGTTAAGTCCTGATGCAAAAAATGCATAGATAGTCCTAAGAGATGGATACTTCTGAATAGATGATACGAATTTTAGTAGATATTATTGATTGTTTTTGATATGTAACAATGAAAATATTGTTGCCTGTTTGTAAGAAAATGACTACAATGACCTTGATCTAAAATAAATTATTATTAAGATATTAAGGACATTGTAGTTATTTTCAATCTAAACTGATATATATTGCTAGATCCAAATTGAAATGTCCAATTTTGATGTAACCATTTATTTGCATATATGAAAGAAAGTTAGCATCTGCTCTTGACCAAATTTATTTTTATATATAAACAAGTGGGAAACATTAAAGCACAGAAAAGATGATGAGGGTCAATAGCTAAAGAGAAAGAGGAGAAATGATGGATGTGCCTTAGGGTAAAAGAAAGCATGTGATGCCTTTCTTTTGTTCTTTTCCCCTTTAACCTACATTTCTTTTCTTTCAAGAACTTTGACCATTTTGACTTTTTGCTTGCAATCAAGTAAGTTCAACTCTATACCATTAAATTCCTACTATCTTAGAGAAAATTAAGAATCTAATTATAATTTTTCATAGAAAAGGAGAGTTGTAGAATCTACTAAGAGCAAAATTAGATATTTAATGTATTGGTACTTAAAAAAACATTGTCTGGTAATCACTTCCATAAAAAGAATGAATATTTGGACCACCAAGATGCCTCAAATCTTGTGAAGTAACATGGCCTCAAGTAGGTCATCCTTTGTTTATGGCAAAATTTCCTTACCATGGTACTACACTTTTGGAATACCCTAACAATCATGCAAAGGTAGACAAGCATGTGTGACCGTCCATGAGCATCTTTCTTCTCCCATCCCACAATCACAGGGATGAATTTCTTAGAAAAGGTACTCTTACCCTACCTAATGATTAGGCCAAGTATATTAGTATCCAAACCTCTTGTCTAATTGGTGCAAACTTGCTCATCTAAAGGCACAGTTTAAGGCTCCATTTAAGATGGTGATGTAACTTGTTGGAATTGCATTTAATGAAATATTGAGGAAATTAAACGTGCATCTTTAACATAGTTGTCATTGGATGTTACTCGTTATAACTTGATCAATCTTAATGAATTAATTAGTTATAGTATGGTTATGATGTGTGATGTAAATATTTATATTCCCCTTTTGCTCTTTCACAAAACCTAAATCGAACGGTAGAATTGATGATCTTCAATCTCCACTTGGGAATCATGTTTGTAAGTCAATATTTGCTCAGAAAGGTTAAATGTTCCCAATTGCTTTGGAAGGTAGGTATTTGCTAACAGCTTGTCCTTTGCTTTTGTAGGGGTTGAAGTTTGTCACTCTCACTTTTCTCTTAGTTATTTCAGCGATCATCAAGGAGCCATCAAATGCAAAAAGAGTCGATAATGTTATAATGGGTTTGTCCTTTCATTAGCTTTATCTCCCTACATTACCAAAATAATGAAAAGCTTTATCTCTCCACGAAATGATGTTTGTGTGCGGGCAGAGAGAAATGTATGCTTTTGAATTTTCCCTTTCAACTCCCATTTTTATTTTGCCCAAAGGTTATCTCAAATAATTAAGAATTTAGAATTTTTAATTAAAGACATCAAATTTTAATTTTAGGATTGGTTAAACAAGATTAAAAATAAAAAGTATTCGTATCTTATTATATTTTGTTTTATATATTTGTTAATATATTATACAATAAAAAATAATGTTATTTTTTTAAAATCCCTTCTTTCTTTTTTGACTTAAAAGTTAAACTTAAAATCTCTAAAAATTCATTATCTAATGTATCCAAAAAAAAGAAAAATCCATTTCTGTTCACTTTAGCTCAAGATGGATATTTACAAGCTCATAAATGCTAAATCAATATAAGTGGAATCTTCTGTTTTATTTATGCTTTTTTTTTTTTTTTTTGATCAAGGGCAATATTTTTAGAAGGAGGGGGGATTGAACACAGTCATGGGGTTAGATATGAGGTTAGGTAATACACACAGTTATCAAGTGACTTACAAGATTAGATGTGTTATTTATGCATTTATTTTGTTTATTAAGTTCGTTCTTTGGTTCTAGTTTAGCTATAATTAGGAAAATGAGGAATCTTGATTAGGCAGGAAAATCTTGCAAGATCTTTTCATGTTAAAAAATTTCGTATCTTTTTCTAGAAAAAATTCAAGTTCACATGCATGTGCCCTCAAAAACCAAAGTAAAGCAGATTTAAAACATGTTTGGTTCAGCTTTTAAGTGCTTTAGCTTTTTTACATTATTCATATTTCATAAATTAAAATTTTTCTCTTAAAATTTTATATTTTTAAATTTTTTTTTACCATAAAAAGATTTTAAACAGTAAAAATTCAAAAATTTCAACTCTAAACTTTTCAAAAACTCTATTTTTACTTAATTTTTCTTATCTTTAAAAGCAATTTTTAAATTTTTTCTTCAATAAAAATTTAAACTTATCACTTATGAACAATAAAAAAATAAAAATAAAAACTTTTGTGAGTTAATCTAAATATGTTCTTAATATTTTATTCCAACAAAATGCTTACAATTTTAAATGAATATTAATTATAAATGACTTTTTTCACTGAATAAAACGAGAACTTGACATGCATCCATCAATTAATTTGATATTCATTTTAAGAAAGTGTTGTGTTGTGTATTACTCAACACTGTGATTAGATAGTTGTTGGAACTTTAAGTACATTGCCTTTAGCCTAATCAACGGCGGTAATATGACCTCGGAAAGTTTAACTTTAATTAACAGTGATTAATAATTGAAAAGAACAAAAATGGTTTGAAGAGAATTTGTGTTCCAAATTTTCTATTTACTAAATAACTTGATTTCTTGATTTAGCAGCACTTCACTTTCATAACCAAATAATTTCATACCTGATTTTTTTTTTATATTAACTTTTCGTTATTCGATAACTTCGATAACTACATGAAATCTTAATTAATTCAGAATTGAATAGCATTGGATTTCATTAAAGGAAAACTCTCCTAGTGCATATTTCTTCATTTATAAAATTTAAACTTAAAATCTTATTTAAGTAAAACCGAATTCTTTCTACTCAGATCAACCAGGTTACTCAGATCAACCAGGTTATTTCATACTGATTGCTAATTGTATCCATCAACTATAACTGGAGTTTGAATCCCCGTTAAGTTGTAAAACGTTAAAAAAGAACACAACTTTATTTAGCAACAAATCGGCTCAAGGAATTGCCCAAGAAGTGAGAATCGCTTGGAAAGTTCGTAAAACTGGGTTTAATTTTTGGGCCTTTTAGGGCAGAAAGCCCAAATTTTGGATTTGATAATTAGTTTTGATAATGCAGAGCTTTTCCCACGTGTCGTTGTAGTATAGTGGTGAGTATTCCCGCCTGTCACGCGGGTGACCCGGGTTCGATCCCCGGCAACGGCGATGTCTTTTTGTTTTTAATTTAATTTTTAATTTTTTTTTTAATTTTTACGTCATTGTGTTTTGTAGAGATTGGGAGGTTGAAGGATGCTGTTAGTTTGGCGACTGAGATTCAGAACCAGGGATTCGCGCCCAGTACATTGACATTGAATTTATTCTTGGAGTGGCTTGTGAAATGGGGTTGCTTGAGTACGCAAAGAAGATGTTTGATGAAATGTCCGAGAGGGGATTTTGCGCAAGTTATAAGATGATGGTTGTCGGGTATTGTAGAGTGGGATGGTTTTAGAGGTGGATAGGTGGTTGCGTGAATGGTGGAGAGAGAATTCGTTGTTGATAATGCTACAAGCACACTGGTTGTCAGTCCATTTTTTAAGAAGGGTTTTTTTGTTAGTAGAGCATTTTGGTATTTTGATAAGCTGGTTGAAATGGGATTTAAACCAAATATGATCAATTTTACATGTTTGATTCATGGGTTGTGTAAGAGGGGTAGCATTAAGACGGCATTTGAAATGTTGGAAGAAATGGTTAAGAAAGGGTGGTGGTAGCGTAATGTGCACATATGGCATTGATTGATGGGTTTTGCAAGAAAGGGTGGACTGAGAAGGCTTTTAGGTTCTTTCTCAAAGCTTGTTAGGATTGAACAGTACAAGCATAATGTGCATACATATGGTTCTATGATCAACTGCGGATATTGCGAAGAGCAGAAGTTGAACTGAGCAGAGATGTTGTTGAGCAGAATGAAAGAGCAAGGATTGATTCCCAACTGCAATACATGTACTACTCTTATTGATGGTCTTGTGAAGTACCAAGTCCTGATAGGGCATAGAAATTAATGGATTTATTGGGTGAAGAACAGAAATAGGTTTCATTCGTAATAGATGCACATACAATGCAATTCCAAATAGCCCCTGTGAAAAGGGGAGGGTTCAAGAAGCCTACAAATTGCTTAGGTGGGGAGGAGGCTTTTGACATGGACTCCAACCCAATAGAGTTACCGATACCATTCTCATATATATCTGAGCACTGAAAACATGCTAATGTTGAAAGAGTCATGGGCGTTTCTGGGTAAGATGGTTTAAGTTGGCATTAAGCCTGATATGCATTTATACAATACAACACATTGATTGCTACATTCTGTAGGCAAAATAAAACCTAACAGCCTTCTCAATCCACCCCTTCGAACCAAGGAAACATACACATCCATCATAGGTGGATATTGCAGAGATGGAGATGTAAATACGGCACTGCAGCTTTTCCACAGGATGAATGTCCACAGTTGTGCACCCGGAAGCTTCACATATGGAGCTCCTATAAGCGGACTTTTCAAAGACCCCAAGTTGGATGTGGCATGCCAATTGCACGAGACCATGATGGATAAAGGTCTCTCCCCTTCTAAAGTAACCTGGCTGACACTAGCTCATGAGTATTGCAAGAAAGGCAACTCTGCAACCGCCATGATTCTCGTACAAAAGAAAAAAAGCTCTGGATCCAAACAGTTAATACATCTTGATGAGGAAGCTTTGTAGTGAGAAGAAAGTAGGGATGGCAGTACTGTTTCTTCACAAGTTATTGAACAAGGATAATAACATTCATCACAGGACATAGGCAGCATTCATGACTGCTTGTTATGTGACAAACAAGTATGCTCTCATTTCTAACTTGAATGAAAGACTCCCAAGGAATTGGTTAGCAGCAGCTGCAATAAGGGAAGTACATACTTTGGAAGGTTCAGTAAAGGAGTTAAATTTCCTTTCCTTTTTGTCCTTCCTTCTTCTTCTCTGTGCAGTCTGTCTATAGGTATTCATACGGATGACTGAGAATCATGGAGACAAGGAGGCTTAACTTGCATTTTTGTATGAAAATTAAACCTTAAGCTTTTTTCTGAACCTGGAATTTCTTTTCTGGCAAGGGCCTCACAAATAATCAAATAATGATAAGTTATATACAACAGAATTAGTCATTATTATTTCAAATTGCTCCCACTCAATTCTTAAGATTCAAACCTTACATACCTCAAACTCCTCTATGTAGGACACACAGTATCCATAGTGGAATTTCCTCTATGAAAAAGAATGACAATATCGTATACAAGCATACAACAAAACATCAGTATTGAATAAAGGGTTGTCTCAAAATTAGGACCCATGTTCAGTAATTAGTGTTTTTCAGACACTGTTAAGGCATCTATCATTAAATTTGTTAAGGTTGTCATTTAACTATTAAAAACAATTAATAATTAATAAAATAACTAATATTTATTATTTAATAAATTAAAATTAATTTATAAATACATATTTTCAAATATCATCCCAAATATTTAAAAAAAAAATTTATAGAATCTAATTAAACGGTTAAAATTGGCTCCGCAAACAAATTTCAATTGTATGTCAAGCTCTGTTCTGTATGTACAAAATTTCAATGGAAAAATCAACTCTAATAATACATTGCAACAAGAAGCATTTTGCAGATAAAATGCAATAGCTTTTCCTTTTCTGAATTCAGCAAATGGACAGAAACCAAATCAGGAAGAATCTTGTTGATGAGACGACAGGCAGACAGATAGAGAGAGCTGAGCCTGTTGGCACTGGGACCGTTTCAGGCGGGTCCCTCCACTGCCGCAGAGGCTCCGCACCGCTTCCGCCTCTTCCGGACACGCCACCGACACCATACACTCTGCCAGGGCACGGTTCAGGTGCCGACAGCCCCAATCCCTTCCCGTCCCCGATGGAAATCGTCGGTGGCACTCGCATAGCGCCCTGTAAAGCCTCTCGCATCCCGCCGGTACCCCGTTCTCCTCCCCCATCTCCGATATCGGTTCCCACGCTCCTACAGAAGATCAACAAATTGGAAGATCAGAAGATGTAAGCAACCGTTCGATGTAACATCGTGATTGATGATGGTCGGTGGGTCTTCGCCACGTCAACCTCTTTTTTTGTTTTTTGTTTTTTGGGAAAATGATTAAATAGTAAAAAGCTTTTGAAGAAATAACTTAATAACCCCTCTAAGTCAGCCCCTGAACTTAGTTTGTTTTACAATTGCAGTCATTAACTTATTTCTAAGCTGATAAAATAAAGACCTTGTATTGTGATATTTTTTGTCAATACCCTATCCAATTAATTGGAGGCCATATTCCAACCCAAAGGTTAATTTATTAAAAAAAAAATTTAATCTTATAAATAAAGTTTAAAATTTAAGTTTTAAAATCATTATTAAAAAATTAATTTATTTAAATATACTATAATAATTTGAGAGTATCACTTTAAAATCTTCTTTAAAAATTAATACTGAGATACATGAAAATTAATATGAAAATAACTTAGCCGTCCAAACCAAAAGAAAAAAAAGTCATTCTTTTTCCTGTTAACTTTAACTTAGTTGGGCATAACGTACACTAGAGAGGGGCTTAATTAGCTTAAAAAATAGGTTTTAAATGTCAAATCTCCATAACAGTTCTACCAAAAATCTTTTGATTTTTTTTTAATAGAAATTTAATACTTTCTCTTATTCATAGAAATGATATTCTTTCGTTGTGGAAACTGGCTGCAAAAGAATGATTTCAAAACAAACAAAAGAAAAAAAGGTGAAAAAGGCGAAACAAGAAAACCATTTTTCCTTGGGACCCTTGTGAGATTTTACATTTCCCATCATTTTCTCCCAATAAATTTATATATCACGCTCAAAGAAGAGGGCATTTGCAATTTATTGAACTTG